CCCCGATGGCCCGAACCTCTGGGTTTCCACCACCCTGTGCATCCTGCGAGCTTTTGCCCACAAGTCCGACGGGCGGTACAAGCAGGTTATTTAGGGCCCGCGCAACCATTTCTATGGGTTTGGGTTTTAAGATTTCTCAGGCTTCGTTTCTGAAGATTTAGAATTTACCTACTTCAAGAGGACAGGGTGGTTGTGGGCATCAAAGTATTTCTACTAAGACCCAGGCTCTCAGTATCCAGCACATCCCCTGCTAAGTACCAGACGTCTACATTTTGGGGCGGACACAAACAAGCAAACAAAAACATACAATGTTGTGGGTCGGAACGCTTGAGAATTTACAGATTAGGCAATACGCTGTATTTTCACATTCAGAATGGTCTGAGTTATCTTAAAGGAACAGCATTTGTGAATGCAGCACATGATATGGGCAATTTACACTTGTCCTGCACCCGTGCTTCTTCCACCTGTGGACTTGCAAATCAGGGACCAGGATGGTGTTGCAAATCAGGGACCAGGATGGTGGTGTGATGCCAAGGGGAAAAATCTGGAAGACTGTTTCTACCCACCATGTACCGAATAAACTACAAACATGAGATAGGAAAAGACCACATCCAAAGGCATCCTATGAAAGCAGGTTCTGTTTACAAAAGCTGACCCTGGGGGAACTCTACAGCGAGGGATCAATTGCGAAGAACTTCACTATATTAGCATGCAGATAAGCCAGACTATAAGTGAGGGGAAAATTCCAAACTCCCAGGAGTCCATCTTAGAAAACTTCATTATTGTCATTTAGAAAGAATACATTGAAAAGCTGACATGCAGTTGGTGAGATCCTTTTTCTTTGTCTTCCAATCTACAGGTTATTGGAGGAGAAAAAATTCTGCCCTTAAAATTTAGACCCCATAAATGATCTGTAGCACAACCACCACAAAAAAATTCATGGACTGAATCTCATGCTCCTGGGATTTTTCAGATAGGTCTTTATATAAAATTTGTAAAAGTGAGAATAGCTTTCAAAGTATTTGTTACATGGGATATGTGGCTCATTGTTATCAAGGATTCTTGAACTGTTTGCTATTCAGTTTGAGAACCAGGTTAAAAATTGCCTTTTATTCCACTTTTTTTTTTCCTGCACCAATCTTTGTAAATATATACTTTAGGTGAACAAACAACTGCCTAAACCTTGCCAGGTGAATTAAAGTATAAGACTGGAACTTTTCCCCCAACAAAAGGAACAGTCTTAAAGATAATTCTAAATCTTAAGTATAAAATATTTCACCTGTAGAACCTTTCTTTGATTATAAGAATATAAAAATATAACATGCCTGTTATAAAATTTGAATCACTACACAAAGATGTAATGTAGAAAGTTCCCTGTAATCCCATACCCTAAAAATCACAAATAATAATTAAGCCTATGACCATAGCACATTTTCATTTTACTTAATACCTTCCATATACAACTGTAGCATTACCTAGTTGTGATGCTAGTACGTGTAATGGATGGTTTGGTTTTGGTTTATTCCTTCCCTCTATGGTATAAAATAAGGATGTAGGAATTTTAAGAGGAAATTAACTTATTTTAGGTGATCTGAGCCATCCACGTCAGCACATACAGTGGGTTAAAATCGCATAGCCATTGTGTCTAGGATTTGTTCCCTGCCATCTTGCTAGTCCTTGGTTATATCCAGAAGCTGGAAATCCCCTCTCCACACCTCATAGACTTGGCATTCCATATTCCTCTCCCCTGCTTTCCAACTCTTCCGAAGTCTGAGTCCCAGGGGAACTCCTTCTGCTCCCCCCTCCCAACTTCTCAAAGCTTTTCAGAAACACAGGCCTTGGACCTAGCAGAATGTAGCACCGCATATTAGACATCAGTGTTTATTTATTTAATCGTAATAGAGGAGAAGTACCTCAGTAAACTTTCAGTGCTTCAAGACATTATGCACTTAAAAAGAGGGCTTGCTCTTACGAAGGCAGTACAGCGACAAGAGGGACAACTTATTTCATAAGATCTACTTTATGTCCAAATCATAGATTAGCCATTTTGACAATCAGCACTTGAGTACAATAATAATGTGGTCTCTTATATGTATTTTAAGTTCTAACTACTTCTGCATGCATGCATGCACTGTATAAATCTGGAGAATGAGAAAAGAAAAAAAATGACGAGAGCACATCTACATACCAATAAGTAAGAAAATAATTACTGACAACAGAGCAAAGAACAGTTTGTTCTGTAAAACTGTTGCTCAAATAAAGAATTACTGTTGCTATTAGCATAGAGCTCAGAATCCTTCTTTTTCCAAATTCTTCAGTTTATAGGCAATAAGGCTAGCCACAGCTTTTCAGGATCAGTATTAAAGCTTAACTTTTAGGAATTTTAACCCCGAATATTCTAAGACATCAAGTAACTGACCTTTTCATCCCTGCTAAAAAAACCTCAATGTGGAGTTTTCAGCTATCCTGCAGGAAACTGAGTCACCGCACCAAACAGCACACCTAAATGTCACCGACAGCACTCAGGACAAAAACAGTGAGCTAGTTTAACTTGGGGTTTTACCCAGGACACATACTGCATTCATTAATAAAAGACTCTTCTCCCTAGAGAGTAGCAGTCACGGTGGCACGACTTAAATATGTGAAAACTCTTCTACTGCGCCATCCAAGATCTTGTTAAGTCAAAGAACTGCGGGGAAAAGCTGCCGAGGCGACCACTGTTGGCCCGATTCCATAAAAGCTGGGGGAGGGCTAAGGAGCCTTTGCAAGTCCCCTCCTCCGGCAGTGTCGGGCGCCTCCAAGGCCTCCTGGAACTACGTGACACCCGTGTTTCTGCTCAGGATCTTCTCTGAACAAACAGTCCTCAATGCTTGCGGGCCAGCATTTGGCTTCCGTCATCATGATGCGATCAAGGGCTCCCCTGACACACGGCCTGACACGGTGCCAGGGGCTCCAGGAGGGGACGCTGAGGCAGCAGCGCCCTTTCAAGAGGAACAAAGTAATCGCCCAGAGCCACAGCGGTCAGCTAGAGGTTGAGGTCGTCTTCTTGTGAAATGTTCAGCCGCTCACTCTCACCCACAGCTGTCAGTGATGCTGACCACTGAGGTAAAAGGAACTATTCTACACGATGTGTGACTGGGGGCATGTCAGTTTCTTTGCCAACACTCACCTGATTAAAGGTCTGTATAAATTTATCATAACTCCCAGATGGGCCTATTGGTGTAAATGAAGGGAACAAGTCCGAAAAATATCACTTGCTTTGGACTCCATTTGCTTGCACTTAATTGAAACATAAATACAAACTGTAATGGCTGATTCAGATTTTTCTTAAACAAAATGAAAAAACAAAACCCCCAAACCTTCAGCCAGCAGCTCCTAAGAGCAAATACTTCAGTGTATATCTTCCTAAGCAATTCTAGTTTCTCCTGGCCTAATTCCCACGGAAATTCCCTCTGTGTTCCTAAGGATGGAGTTGATACTGTCCAAAGTTGGCAGAATTGGAGAAAAATAATTTCCATTTCACCATGTATTGCTTCAAGCTACTCACTCCCTGAATTTGCTCCAGTAAAAGATATGTGCAGTTTAGCTCTCACTTTTGC